TGTAGAAACTATTTGTCAACCCTTGTAAGGAATACCTGTCAACTCTTATAAAGCAATGATCACGACAATGGGAAGAGGCAAGAGTGCAAAATGCCCCCCCCACCCCCCCCTCCACCTACTCGTCACCGAATATCTGATGATTGCTGGAGCAAGATTAAAGACGTATAGATCAAGGTGAGTGTCCGTTTTGAGAAATCTAAAAAGGAACTTGACCGACAGAACTTGCCATAACAAGAAAATAACCGACCTACTTTTTCTAAGAATGCTGCAGTTGGGGTTGCCGTATATAAAAGTAGTAGTAGTAGTAGTTTGAAGTTCATTTCCGCACCTAAAGAACTGAAAGTACACTATCACTTATGGGAGTTGACAAAAGGGTTAGTATAACTGGATCTAACACAGCCAACACGTTACTCGTGACAATTTTTTAGTTTCAATAAAGCGATCTCTCAATCTCGTCACAAGTTTCTTTTCCTTTCTTTAGCAGAGTAAGTGTGCACAAAAAAATTCCAGAAGAAAAAACTGTGATTTAGGACTGGTATTGCTGGGACCTGAGTTATCGGTTTTGAGAGAAGCAGGTTGGAAGGTGTCGTTCGATTGGGATGTGATTGAACTGGGTTCCGTAGCATACCCTATATAACACGATGTCTGATAAGCTGGACCATTCTACTTTTATAAAGGGTGGCGAAGGATCACGTGCACCATACAAAAGCTCCAATTTTATTTTGCGTCCTTCAGCATTTCAATAAAACCTATTTTCATGAAAAATTATGCTAAATCATTCTATAATAGCAAAAGAGACGCTTGCACGGGTGCATGCATGATTCATGAAGATACAATCTATGATTCTCCTTCGAGGTTTATTTTCTGCTGCATATATGTACGCTATGGTACATAGCGATTGTACTGTTCAGCTTTTAGGGGGGGGGAGCATTTCGCACTCTCGCTGCTTTCTCTGGCTGACTCATTAAAAACTGACGGGTCCGATTTTGGAGAAACTTGCTGACTCTTCTGCGAAAACCTGCGAAATGCAATGAGTGAGTTACTTTGGTTACAAGAATTCAAAAGTCTCAACCAGTTGGCTGTGCAATTGGACCTTACTTTCTCTGTGACTACTAAGAAATCGTCGACAATGACGTAGGAGCACTCAGACGAACCATTATGTTTGTCAACCCCTGAGGCTCGCCAAAGAGTTGGGGTTGACAAAGTAAAGGGAAGGTAAACCCGTAAACCATAGACTACACAAAAACCAAGACCCATAAACCCATAGACCCATGAGAACACTGACCTCTATGAGCTGGCCTCCGCAAGTCATCGTGTAGGCCACATCGCATGCAATAAGCCACTACAATTCTGAATGGAAGTAGAATGCATGTCGCATCCCAAAGAGGGATTGATTAACAGCGGAGACCTTACCTTTTATCCTTTATCACCTTTACCTTTATTGTGTATTGTTGTTCACATTATCAACACACCTTCTCGGTGTAAGGGCAAGTACATTAGATCTAGAAATTATAGAAACCTTTACCGCTAACCTAATACTAATACCAGCCATAGGTTGTATAACTGCGCTACGTTTTTGTCTGTACTATGCACCGATGATGGGTGATAGCCAAATTCCACAACATATCTGTGTGGCTTGCGGTATATGCCGCCGTTTTCCCTGTTTTCATCCATGGGTGCTGAACTAAGAGATGAGATAGATTCCTAGGAGTACTCATTGTCGAAAGAACAAAGAAGTTGTAGGAAATATAGAAATATTCAGAATAGTGGAAGGAATTTCCGCATGTTGACCCATAAGTGTTCCAGACATTGTCCGACAAGGAAAAAATACGTCGCTCCTGACGTTAAAGGCAGTCCGCGACAGTTCGCGATACGTAGCGTGGGTAATGATGTTGAAATATGGAAGACAAGTTGCCAAGTGACTCGTCCGTGGAAAAAAATGTCAAAGGGATCGCTGGAAACGCCTTTAATTGGACCTATTAATGCTCAAACAGTTGCACGAGTAGAAGGCCGAAAAGCTGCATCTTGGAAGCACTTGGCTGCTTCCTTGTAATGAAGCTCATGACTCCACAAGAGGCAACAGAGCATCGATTCTGTGCTACTTATTCAGTAGCGTAGCATTTGGCTGAAAGACGACTTTGAAGGAGAACCTGGAGGCGGAGTCTCTGGAAAAAGGGAGGTGTCACTGGAGCAACTTTGCGCCTTAACTCCTTTGCCCTTCAACTTCCCCCGCGGAACTGGCACAAAGTTGTCCACTGTGGATCACAGTACCCCTCCCACACAAGTTGCATCTTCATACGACATCGCGGATCGCTCCTTTGAGATCGGGGCAACCAACCGCGAAACAGTTCTAGCTTTTCGTGATCCTTGTATAAGGACTTAGGTATACTAATAATCTTTGACATCACAATAATCCAAACTAAACTGCTACCTGCATATTACAAACGAATTCTTATTGCCCGCAAGCTTTGCAATGACGCAGTGCTGTGGGAGCACAGAAGCAACTTCTGACTGTCGATTTGGCTAGAAATTTGTTCCCGTGGTAGTTAACCTCCTTGGACGGGTATTTCAGTGCAGTTTCACCATGACTGCGCACGATGAATGACTTGAAACGATCCTTTTCTTTGTACGTTCAACAATCCGATTACAACTTGCCCGTGAGATTCAGGTAGTAATTTCCATATTAGTAGCCAACATTTAATCATCTACCGATAAGAGTAGATGTTCATACAAAGATTCCAGATGGATTCCATGGAAACCGAACTATTCCCAGATAAGCAGGCCTCATCCGATCGTTTAGAAAGTGTAGCATTTTCTCAATTTCTTTCGCCTCCCAGGACCATACCTTTGAAAAAGGAAACATAGTGCACCTCGATCTGATCAGCCCTGGGAAGTAAAAAAAAAGAGCAGGAGATTGGCATGGCACATCGATCTACTCGCCATAGCGGCCTGATTTAGTATTTCTCATCTTTTCGTCTCCTTGAACTCCACTCTTGAAGAAGCTACCTCTATTGGTTGTATAGGAGTAACAGTCAATCAGTACTCTTGGGGATCTGATGGGCTTCTGCTTCCACGACAGTAATAGAAGAGCAGGCCGAGGGCCACACAGTGGTTGGTTATCGCCGCTCATACGATTAGCATGAATTCTTCTTCAAAATTAACCCTTAGGCGTTCAATCGGGCACAGTTCGGCTCGGTGGAGGGCAACAAATGGTTTCAGCGATACCTTTACAGGCCACTTGGTTAAGGCTTGTATTAGGTTGTCCGGAAAGTTCTCAGCGTTTTGTGCACCTATTTTTTGTACATTCACTGCTGATTAAAAACTCATTCTGCCTTGCTTCTCAGTAGCACATCCTGTAGAGAATTTCTTGCGCTATCTGATGGTATAATTGCCGTTTCACCATTGCTTGATAAACCCTTTTTTTCAAGATTTTTTCAAGCATGTGAAAAGAGCACTTCGGACGATTTTCTTCGACTATAAATTGGGGCAATCCGCAATCGAAACAGCTCAACAAATTAACCAGGTGTGGGGGCCCAATAGTGCTAGAGAAAGCACTGTGCGGCAATGGCTCAACAAATTTCGTTCTGGAGATTTCAGCCTTGAAGATGAACCTCATAGCGGTCGACCTAAAGCAATATCTGACGAGGATTTTAGGGGGATTTTGGAGGCTGACCCATCCCAAACAGTTCGAGAGATAGCAGAAGAGCTAGGCCTTGGCAAATCCACTGTTGCAGATGGTCTGGAACGCATTGGGAAGGTGAAAAAACTCGACAATTGGGTGCCCCACAATCGGAGTGACCGGCAGGAATCGGCACGTCTCGAGGTTCCTTCTGCATTGCTTTTGCGCAGCAGAAACGACCTGTTTTTGGGCCGAATTGTCACCTGTGATGAAAAATGGGTCATGTATGATAACAGGAGACGTTCCGGACAGTGGTTGGATTTCGACGAACCACCGAGGTAATTTTCAAAGCCGAACCCTCACGAAAAAAAGATTCTGGTCACGGCTTGGTGGTCATCGGCTGGTGTGATCCACTATAACTTTTTATCACCAGGCCAAACCATCACAGCAGAACCCTACTGTGAAGAAATCGACGAATTGTACCGAAAATTTTGTCAGATGCAGCCAACACTTATCAAAAGAAAGGGTCCGATTCTTTGCATGACAACGCCCGCCCACACGTTTCACAAATCACTATCCATAAATTGAACGAATTGGGGGTTGAAGTTCTACCTCACCCACCATATTCTCCAGACCTTTCACCAACCGACTATCACCTTTTCAAACATTTTCAGAACTTCCTTGCTGGAAAATACTTCATCAATCAGGACCAGGCAAAAAAGCCTTCGTGGATTTCGTGGATTCTCGACCACCCAGTTTTTTCTTTGATGGGATTTCTCGACTGCTGTCACATTGGCAAAAGTGTGCTGATTCGAATGGTGCCTATTTCGATTAAATCCGATGAGTATTAAAAAAGTTACGATCGTTTAAAGTGAAACACCCAAAACGCTGAGAACTTTCCGGACAACCTAATAAATCAGTGTGACCAAATTAACTCATTTATTGCATTCCACAGGTTCAGAAGAGTTAGCAAGTTTGTCCAAAATCAGAGCCATCAGTCAATGTTAATGAGTCAGAAAGAAAGCAGCGAGGGTGCGAAATGCCCCTCCCGAGCTGAACAGTGCAACTGCCATGTACCAGCGATCTTGTCTATCAGGAATGTTACAGAAATCGTATCTTCATGAGTCATGCATTTCCCGTGCAAGCGCCTTTTTCGCTATTGTAGAACGTTTCAGCGTCGATGAAATCAGGTGTTATTATGATCCTTCGCCACCCTGTTACGAGGCCTAGCTCAATCACATCCTAATTGAACGACAGCAGCTTACCACATACTCACCAAGAGACTCCCATGCCGCGCGGCCCCTTTCATTGTTTCTCCACCGTCGCTGTTTACACCTCCTTTTTCATTTTCACCGTCTGCTAGATTGTCGTGCCAACTGTGCTAGATATCTATATCGATATATGTATATCTTCGCTCTATCTGCGTTCTGTTCTCTCCGTATTCTTCTTTTGGAAGTACGTGAATTATACACATAGTTGCAACATTGCATCTTTGAAAAGCAACAAGTTTTTGAGCACCGAGGAGCGACTCTGAATAAGAGCTATTAAAAAGAACTCCTCATGATCCCTCTTATACTCTACTGTGACTGACTGCTACAGAGTTTTAGAACGAAGCATTTCAACAGTAAGTTATATGCAGTAAAAAAATACTAATTGAAAAACCTAATCCATTTCCGGTGCGAAGCTGGACCATATCACACAAGTATGTTTCAAAGGTACTATGTTGTAATTGAATAATGGATAAGAGTCAACGAAAATGCAGAAAATAAGTAATAAGATAACACAACAAAATAAATACTAACGATAGCAAATCAGCCGAAATCAGCTGATTAAAGGCCGAGGGATCGCTGGAAGGGATTCTGGGCAGGACCAGCCGTGCAAGGTGGTTGCAAGGTGGTTGGATTGGAGCGCGAGTTTTCAGGAAAACAGGGTGTCTTTGAAGGGCCATAACTTCCTCAAAAGCGGACCTGTGGGAAAGAGGAGACCGCAGTCGTGTAGAGGAAGGTTTGAGCTTCCTAAAATACCTGAATTGCTTACGAAGGTCTCAATTCACGGAGAAATTCAACTCGGGCGATTTTTTGGGAGTGCACTTTTCGGATAACTTACTGTTTGAATGTTTCTAAAAATTTGGCACTATTTACCCTTTACTGCCCCAGTCATCCGAAATCAGGCCAGTTCCTGACCGACTTTTTTCTCCGTGGGCAGAATTTGCTGAAAACTTGGCTCCAGGGGTAGTTCGACCCGCTGAACACGAATATCGCATCCGCTTAACCCGAAACCTCCTGGCGCCCGCGCCACGGGCGCCGGCGCCAAAATAGTCGAAATCACCAAATTCGCTGAAAACTTGCTCCCAGGGGTGGTTTGACCCCCTGATTACGAATATCACATCCGCTCGGCGCAAAACCTCCTGCCGCCCGCGCTACAGGTGCTGGCGCCAAAATACCTCAGATCACCGGCGCCTGTGGCGCAGGCGCCAGGAGGTTTCGGGCTATGTGAATGTCATATTCGTATTCAGGAGGTCAAAATACCCCAGGAGACAACATTTGAGCCAAATCTGTCCACGGAGAAAAAAGTCGGTCAGAAACTGGCTCAATTCGGGATTGTTGGGGCAGTAAAGGGTAAATAGTGCCAAATCTTCATTAGCCAGTCACAGTAGGGTATAAGAGGGAACATGAGGAGTTTTTTTCTCCTCTTATTCAGAGTCGGTCCTCGGTGCTCAAAAACTTGTTGATTTTCGAAGTTGTATGTATGTTGTAATTATTTTATCTATTTATTTATTTATTTGAATATACTCTCACAGTGGTGCGCCAGCAAGTTTGGGAAAGGAAACAATCAAATAGTGCATAATACAGCCAGATAATTCTGAGTAAAAGAATCCTATCTAGTAATTAATCAAAAGTAGTCTGTCAGTGTGTGTGTTTGTGTGTGTGTGTGTGTGCGTCCGTCTGTATGCAGAAATATGCATAGCAGTCACCGCGTGGCACTAAGCGTAGGGCTGTTTGTCATAATAAGTGTATATCTGGGGAAAATGGGATGGACATATGGGCTAGGGTGACAGGAAGTGGTAACTACTGTATATGATTCGATATAGTAGACCATGGGAATTGTTGTAGGTCACCGAATATCGTACGGCTAGTGTAGCAGTAGCGTGGGACTTTTGGTATCCGAGAGTGATATGGGCGTGGAAAGAAGAACACAAGCGGTGACAGAATGTGTGTAAAGTTGATGAAGATACGATATAGGGCCATGGAAGAGGAGGGTCATCCAATTCCGTAGCGCATAGGTACTGGCATACAGTGGTGACACTTGGTTGAATTCATGATTTATGTTGGGTATGTAGGATGGACACATCATTGGAGAGTGACAGAAAGTGATAACAGTGATAAGATCCGATAAGGGCTTCCGAGAGGGGAGGATCACCAAATTCGTAACGCAGGTTACGGCAACAGTGGGACTTGGATCCGAGTGGTGGTAAAGGGTTGTTGGAAGCGAATCATTATTAGGCGGGTGACAAGTATAAGTTGCTAACCTTTGATAAGATCCTCGATAAGGGGCATCGTGAAGGGGGATCACTGGAATTCTGTACGCGCTAGGTCGTCTGACAATCAGTGGACCGTTGGATCGGAGTAGGTGATGAAGGGTGTGTGAAAGGGAATCATTATTGGCTGGTGTTGAGATTTGAGTGAATAGACAGTTGATAAAGATCTTATAAGTGGGTCTCTGAAGAGGATGATCTACGATTTAGGTAACCAGGTTATCAGCAACGGTGGAGGCGGGGTTTCGAGAAGTGAGATCTAGTATGATTGAATAGGAATGTGACGGGATTATTATTGTGCGGGTGTTACGATTAAGATGCTGAAAGTGACGAGTTTTTAACATGGGAAAATCCGCTACACCGCTCACAGCAGCAATGCGACCAATATGACTCAAGTATAACTATCTCAATGATTCCAACTCAACTCATTTCTCAATGCTCATCAGCAGCGGAATCATGTACGACCGCTGAGCTAGCTCTACTCCGAATGCATGGGGTTTGTTTACAGAAATTTTATGAGCAGCAGCAACTTGACTTAATCACTCTTATCAGAACTCTTCCATCAACAACCTCAGTGAGGGCCATTCGAAACATTGTACTGCTGAATGCGAGAGTGCATTGACGCAAGACGCGTTAAGAGAAGAGGGGGGGGGGTGGAGGAGGGGGGAACTGCATGAATCAGTACGATGCTTCAGCGGCTGATCTAACAGGCTGCTCTGTTCCCGTCTATGTCGGTTAAGAACGTAACAGTCGGATCGCTCGCTAACGCCGGCGCATCTCCTCATGCGGCGGACGCTGCTGCTGCTTCTGAGTCTTGACAAAACGGGCGCTGCTTTTCAGTTCTTGGCTGATGCAGAACATTCCTTTGAACAGTGTGGTTGGTCAACGATCCGTAACTTAGCACGCAGCAAATCCGCGCCCACCCACGCTGCTCCTTCTGTGACATAGCCCGGAAGCCGGGCTATGTCACAGAAGGAGCAGCGCCCGGCGACAGCTGGGCCAGACTGGACAGGACAGGGGGATAGGCACATCATTGGAAAGCGACAGAAAGTGATAACAGTTGATAAGGTCCAATAAGGGGCGCCGGAAGGAGAGAGTCATCAAATTCATAACGCAGGCTACAGCAACAGTGGGACCTTGGATCCGAGAGGTGATATAGGTTATGGGATGGGAACACCATTGGTGGGTGACAGGGTCGGTTAACATGGAAAAATCCGTGCACCGCACACAACAATGCGATCGATATGCCCCAAGAAGTCACGATTTCAGAGATTCGAATACAGCTCATTCCTAAACGCTTATCAGTAGACACAATGTACGACCGCTAGGCCAGCTCTACTCCAAATGCATGTCTTTTTTTTTTTACCGAGATACCATGTGAACAGCATAAATGACGTAATCACTTTTACCATACCTTACCGATAACTTTAGTGAAGACCATTCAAAGCTTATCAGTGCTAATGCGGGGGTGCTTCCACAGCAGGACACTTCAATCAAAAGAGAATGCGTAAAGCAGTAGGACGTTTCAGAGGCTAATCTAACGGGCTGCCCTATTCCCGGGTATAATGTAAAGAAATTTTTTTGATGTGAAAAAAAGAACCAACCCATTATACCTCATTGTAGTTTTACCCCTTGATCGTGTCGGTATTATGAAGGCATATGTAATAGGATGTGATAATAGTACAAGCAAACTGTAAGTAAGCGAGAAGATTCCGCTATATGACCAAGCTCATTATAGCCTGCGTATCTGATCCCCATCCGATTGAATGAGAACCCTTCATTTGTTTCCGATATTATCAGCACGTGAACTTATTCGGCTGCTAAACGGTCTGATGTTGCGGCGAATGATTCCTTTATCTTGATAAAAAGCTATCCGGTCATTCGACCATACCAGTTGAAGTCATTTTGACCGCGCTAACTTTTGGTGCGGTTCATAGGCCTACTTCTTGATTTATTTTTGTTTTTCACCGTCACGAGAAGTACTGCTTGCTAAAAACAGAAAAAATAGCGAAGGGGAGCACCGTTGGCGCCAGACGTGTTGCCTTTTAGACTACTGACTTATTAACAACCAGTCGGATCGCTCGGCTGACGCCGAGCTCTCCTCCTTCTCTTTAGCTCGGCTTCGCCGAGCTGGCCTGGCTTCGCCAGGCGCGCACAATTTGAACGCAATTTTCTCGACGGTGGGCTGCTCATATGGCGCTGTAGAGATCGAATCATGACAGGTAGAGAAACGTTGCGAATCCTGCATTCCTAAGCATACGCTAATATTTGCAGCAAGGTGTGGTCCGCGCCATAAAGCCCATACAACATATAGTGGAGAAAGTTGCGTTCAAATTGAGCGCGCCTGGCGAAGCCGAGCTAAAGAGAAGGAGGAGAGCTCGGCGTCAGCCGAGCGATCCGACTGGTAAAACAAAAACTGGAAAGAACACAGTAACATTTGAATAAGCAAAAAAAGAAATCTAGGCAAAGCAATATAAGCATCAGAAACACCGGAACTTCCCTATGTGTAGTTGTAAGGCTGTTTTCCCCTTCAGGCAGATGAAAGAGTCCCCCGCGAGATCCTGGTCCTTGGTTCTGAACGCAAGGATTTTGACGAACAGTACTGGGGCTTGCTGACAACTTAACCCGTTACGAACGAATTCGTCCGGGACCCCAGGCGAACAAACCAAGGGGGACCTCAAGCGAGGGGTTCATCACCTCCTCCGGCTCATCAAACAACTGGTAACACAGTTCGAGCCCGTGGCCGTTCACCAAAGCATACTTTCAATTACCCAGCCTACAGCCTCCTGTTACCAAGAGGTATTAGCAAGAGAAGTGCTTATGAACATATTGCCGATGTACGTGACCTGTCTCAATCATGAAATAGCAAGTAATAGGCGGGAGTATTCAGTCACTCCCTGAATACAAAGTATGTCCAGCTAACGCGATAGTTTCTTATCATCTTGCAAGGTAGACCACCGGTTTTGAACGAACCAACCACTCACTAGAAGACATTGACCAGACACCCAGCATTGAGACTGAAACATAAGAAAGAAAGACGAGAAAGAAAACCGAGATTGAACTGAGTCAGGTATTCTTAAGATGCGCAAGAGGTCAAGCTCACTCAGCCTGCTCTTGAACGACTTACTATTATTTGCTTGAAGAACGTGAAGGCGGTAGCAGCTCGAACCATCTTGCGCAACGATTAAACACTATATTGAACATTAATGAATAGTTCTTTGGGTAGATGTGGTCATAGTGAAGATTCAACCCACCCAGCCTTTCAGTGGTTGGACTGAAAGCTCCAGTACTTACTAGCCCTTAGCTTGACCTCCTTCCGAATAATACGGAAGCAAAACACCAAATCAGATAAAATCCGTCTATACTGCAGCGTATGCAAGGGGAACGCCTTCAGTCGATCCTTGTAGGGATGCATATCGTACCGACCAGTACAGTTTGTGGACCTAAACCAAAGTAGACGAGTGAATACATGTTGGACTTTCTCAATCTTCAATACGTCTTTCCTCAAAGATGGGCTCCATACTTGTGAGCAATACTCAAGGTGTGGTCGGACATACGCTTTGTAAAGCCGCAATAGGGTAGTCGGGTCTGAACTTCGAATATTTCTCATTATAACAAACAGAGCAGAGTACGCTTTTTTGATAATGCAATCAATATGACTGGAGAATTTCAAATTCGAGTCGAAAATGACTCCAAGGTCTTTCTTTGAGTCACAGGTGGGGAGTGTTATACCGTTTACTACATAATCGACTGTTACGTCATCTCCAAAATGCATAACCAAGCATTTTCTTAGGTTCAGAGGTATACCCCAGGATGTTGACCACTCTCACATTCGTTCAACTGAGAGCTTACGCGCTTGGTGCATGACATCCCTATCGTCAGCGTCATATGCGCAATATACCTTAATGTCATCCGCGTAAATCTGTACTCGGATGTCGGGACGTGTTTTCAGAAGTTGAGGCAACTCCACGGTATATATCAGAAATAGTAAAGGGGATAACACTCCACCTTGAGGAACCCCACTGGTGCAGGGATACCTGCTCGAAAAACTGGTCCCTACCCGAATGTCATACTCCTCTCCTGTAGATTTACAAATGTCGTACATTGTGTCAAGAAGCTCTGTACACGTTAATCAGCCTAGAAGCCTACCATGGACACCGTAGAATTCGAGTTTGCGAACAAGTTTTAGGTGACAGACCTTGTCAAACGCCTTGGTCAAATCGAGGTGAATTACATCCACCGATTTTCCATGGTTGATAGATTTACAAATGTCGTACATCGTGTCAAGAAGGTTTGTACATGTCGAAACCCCAGGAAGAAAACCGTGATGTTCGGCAGGGATGAGGTTGATGCGATTGAACCATGCCAACAGTTTAACGAAAATCATCTTCTCCATCACCTTGACAGGTGTGGAAGTGAGGCTGATGGGCCTATGGTCGCTAACTGCTGTAGCTTCGGGATGTTTGGGGATAGCCGTTATGATGGATTCTTTCCAAATTTTTGGAACCTGACCTAAAAGGAAAGAGATGTTGAACATGTGGGCCAAGGGTTTGCAAAGAGAACCACAGCAGTTCCTGAATTTATCTTTGGAAATGCCATCAAAAGGCTCACTGAGGGAAGGCTTAAGAACTGTCTAGACATCTCTGGGGTGGAAATAAATATCAAAGTCCTCGCTTTGAGAACTAGCCGCACCGTACTCCAGGACTCCTGTAGAAGAAACTGGAGCTGAGAAAACACTGGCGCAAATATTTAGCTGGTGCTTGAGCCTTCGCTCCTTCAGTGTGGGAAGGGGTGTCTTGGATTTGAACTTGCAGCGAACGTACTGATGCAAACGCTTCAAGGAAGCTTGGTTACCGAGATGGCGTTCAAGATTGGATACGAACTTCTTTAAGTGGTAATCCACATCCCTACAAACTTTCCTGTATAGCGGGCAACTCATGGGATTATCCAGGATCCGAAATAAGCGTTCTTTCTGAGCCAACAAATTCCTGATGTGCAATGGATACTTGATAGGGCGACGCTGAGGAAACTTCAGTGGAACGAATAAGGCCTTGTAGACGGTCTTGCAGAATCTCCGATAAATGTCGTCCATGGAAACGTAGTTGTTAAATAGACCGAGCCAATCAGCTTCGAAAGATACTCTTTTAGGCGGTCACAGTTCACTTTTAGAAAATCAGGAGTAGGGAGGAGTCACTGAACCCGTCCAGTAACTTGAAGCGAACGGAGGCATGGTCGGAATTTGCAAGAGGAGGAAGAAGTGACACGTTTTGTATGCTGTGCGAAGTGGACAATACCAAGTCAAGGGTGTTGCTGCCATGCGTTGGTTGGAGGACGTGTTGTTCGAGACCACTTTCTTGGAAGAAATCCAGAAAGGCAGCTGAGGAAGCGTTATCTGCACGTAGGTTTTTCCAGTCAACCTGTAGTTTAAGTAGCCCACAATTATAGAGTTGACCTGAGCGGAAACCATCTCACTAAGAACATCAACAAGACCGTCGTCTTCACTCCTTGTAGAGTTCGGGGGACGATACACTACAGTGAACCGTAAACGAGAGGCCTCAGGAAGACTGAAAATTTTCCAGGGAGGGAACGTCGGCTTTGATTGGGTTGACTTAACAAATCGGTAAACACAGGAGTTGCAAGACGACATAATCCGTCACCGCGACGCTCCTTTCGATCTTGGCGGAATAGTAAATACGGCAAATTAAACAAAATTTCAGAGTCGAGGATATTGTCCGTAAGCCATGTCTCTGTAATAAACAGTAGATCAGGCTCATACTGCGAAATGTAGGCACGTAAATGTTCTAAATTATTCGGCAAACTACGAGCATTAAGTAAACAGCAAGTCAGGACAGAACCACTATGCGCCCTCAAGCGTTTCCCGAGCGTTTATGCTGCACTTCTGAAGTATGTTTCATCCTTGGTGGACTACCCATTCCCGGCTCGCTTTCCCCTTGTTTCGCTCGCGTGCCTCCTGTCGCAGCTCGTATTCAGCGGTTTTGTTGCCCGCCTCCGAAGTAATGCTTTTACGTATAAAATGTATTAGGCAGGTCAGCGTTACGGAGAAGGCGCGCGTTCGCAAGAGCACGACGCCAGTGGAATTTCGAGGGCAGAAGTACCTTGACCAGCCGTGGACGACCCGCATCTGGCTTGCCCATGCGGTAGATTTCCGGAAGGACGGCATTCCACGCTCAGAGCATCGAGTCTTGCTTACCTTACCCTCGAGATCCGCTTGACGTTGGGAAGGGCGGAGCGAGCTGTGTGCTTCCTCAATACCCGCAATTACTATACTGCGTTCACGCTTATCGCTCTCAAGGAAATCCGTAAACTCCTTAGGTATTTTCTCTGTAAGGGCGATGAGCATGTTCTCAATGGCTGGGTCTCTATTAAGCTCCATAATATTTTTTATGAGCTCCATTGCCGACATATTTTTTCGAAATTTGCTGACTCAGATAGAAAAGACTGCGAATTGACAATGCTAGTGGAGCTGGAGCTGGGTTGAGACACGGTTTTAAGAACCTTCTTGGCACGTTGTACTTTGGAAGGCATTTATTTGATCTTTGATCTAGCTATCATGTGATAATTCACGTGCTTGTGTGATATGCTTATCATCTCTGGTGATTCTGCCCCTACTGGATCTATATGGCGAAAGGCGAAAAAAAAATCAAACAGCAAAAGGGGTGGGAGTGAACTGAACCCCCCCCCCAAAAAAAAAAGGCGGGGGGGGGTCGTGCGGCCTCGATAAAAAAGCTCCCCGGACTCAGCCCTTAGATTGGCGCGGTTTAACTCACGTGATCTTCCGGCTTCGATAACCACACCGCCCAAAGGTCAACTTCAAGACAGTCTACCCACAGGCTTCTCTGTCGTCTATATATAAACCAGAAGTTTTTTGTCTGTCTGTACGTCTGTCTAACCGCTTGAAATGGGGATTTTAATGAAATTCACTTCAAGGAAAGTGATTGCGCTTGGGATAGAGTGGATGGGGCCAGCTCTTGCAAGACACGACAAGCTTCACCTAGGCTCCGCACACAATGGGCGGCGGCGTTCGCTAAAGTTGAACAAGGGAGGAGGTAATAGAAATTATCAGAACGCAATCGGAGCAACAGGCAGAACGGGGAATATTATAGAGCTGAAAACTGAGGGCAGCGGGTAGGTAGATTATCGTAGAGAGGAGACAGCCCGTTAAGGCGTATATATCCGTAGTTCAAGCGGTTAGGGTCGCCTACATATTATTCTGCAATTCCTCAACACTACGGAGTGTACCCTATAGAAAATTCCGAATACTGTTTTCTAGGGGGTATATATCACGAATGAAACGGTAAGGTCCTGTAATTTCTGAAAAAAAGTTTTTTGACGAACACTGGACACTGGAAAATCTATGGGGCAATACCCATTCTCAATATATATCTGGGAACTGAGAGAAAGCATTTTGTTGAAAGAAAGGGGACTCTGGAAGTCATACTGAGAGGCTGTGGCTTGAAAAACTCTTGAGAGGACCTGCAAATGTTGAGGCGATGGCCACTGCAGGTAATGGATGCGGAGGCTCGTGAGGCAATTGAACATCGTTAGCCGTCATGATGAAAAGGTTTTAGCGTTTACATAACGCTTCTTGCCGACTATTGCTCTTCGAATTTCGAAACACATCGTCTCCCGACTAATCAACACAATCAACGGAACGCTTTTTTGATTGTTACGGATTCCTGCGATTTCGCCGTTCAAGGACCAGAATGGAGCCCTCCATGCCTGCTCGGACACAATGGCTTTAGTACTCGAAGTTTCTATAACAGTCGCTCATCATTGCGACGCACGCTGGAGCGTGTCGCACAGTATGAGTGTTGCGACCATGTGAAACCGGTTCAAGTCTTTTTTTTGAAACGGGGATATAATAGCGGTAATGTCACTTGGCCCTTTAATAATGGTGCAAAAAGCACTTTGCCTCGCCCCAAACGCAGCGCACTGAACCGCTCGACAGTACGTAATGAATAGGCTAGTCATACTCACATTGGATTCAAGACATTCCGTTACAGCGAAAGAAAAAATTCACACATGCACAACCTCTAATTACCTGGGATTTAACGGTAAGAAGTGGTAAGCAATGTGTTGAAGATGGTTCTATCTACTCTTATCAATTGATTTGATTATTTGCCACCCGTCATCAGTGTTCTGCGCACAAAAAAAAAACAAAAATTCTCGGTAAGTTCGGTACTAAAACTTTGAAAGCCACCGTGAAACGAACACCGCTACTAAAGTCCTCTTATCGGCCTATATCAGTTTTTATGGCTTTTTGTCATCCTCCGTTGATGTCCCCATCACTATCTCTATGTCGTCTGCTGGAACCAACTCCGATACACATGCATACACGCACGCACGCACACCCAGCGAAATATATACAGGGGGGCCAAAAAAGTCTTTTGCCTCCATGACCTTTCAAGGCAGACTGGTAAGTCACCTTTATGAACATCATTACGACATTTTTACTACCATATTAAAGAGCACATTAAATACTATAATGATACTCCGCCACAGCCTTCTGGAGAGCGCCATCGAGAGATTCGGCCGCGCGAAAGTGAGTGGGTACCGGAGTTGAGCGAGATCGTTGATTTCTCCGCCACTGTAGACCACCCTGTTGAGCTCCGCCCGAACCGAGTAATTGAGGGGGTTTAGTTTAGGACCCCCGCTTAAAATCTCCATTTTTTCCAGGTACTCAACGTTTCTTCCATTCCAAGTAAGGCGAAAGTTTTTCCAACGCCCTTCGATTAAATGTGTTGTCACCCAATCCTGTAGCAGTACAAAGTTTCCAAGAAGGTACGGGCGACGACATGAAGATGGGATATTCTCCTCGAGTTGCTCGATGTAGCCACCAGCGCACACCCTCAGTCTGGGGCCCACGAAGAAAATACGGTTCACATTGGTCTTCCCATTCCAGGTACGGCCGGTCCACACCATCAACCCGCGCCTTGGTGAATGGGGTGAAGATGATGTCCTGGACCGTAGCGACGTTGCCGGAGCTGTTTGAGGTCTTGCAGATCAAGAGTACTGGTCTCCAGGTAGCTATCCATGGGTGATTCCATTCAAGAAGTTCCGCAGCTGTTTGGAGGCCACGTGAAT